AGATCTCTCCTAGAGCCCTTGGGGAGCTGATTTTCCACCCCGTGGGACAGGGAGCAGAGCGGGGATGGTAGGGTACACCTCAACGGCTTTGGGGTGCTGTGTCTGCCTTGTGCCCCACCGTCGTGGGGAACCCACGCCCCTAATTTCGTGCCCCGGGTCTCAGTTCCAAAGCCCTCAGTTCCAGGACGCGGGCTGTAGCCCAGATCAGTGGCGCGGGAATGGCGCCTTTTGAATCCCGCTCCCCTGCCTGGGCGCCTTGTTCCTGCTCACTCAGGGAGGGCCTCCGCCGTCTCCCGGCAAGCCTAGGTCGCAGGCGCGGGGACCTGGGCAGCTGCGATCCGGTCTGGATCCGCGCCACTTTCCGCGCAAGCTTACCGGGCGGCCGGGGCTGTGTGCTGGTGCTGGTCTCCTCCTGGGGGGCGGGGCTCTCTTTAATGGCGCCTGGAGCTCACCTCCGCGGCGGATCCTGCAGGGTTCGCCTCAGCTCCCGTTCACGGGGTGTGGTGGCTGCAATAGTTCCTTTCCACTCACAGTCCCGCTTGCTGTGTCCGTTTTTCTTGTTGGCCGTTTTGGTTTGTTGTTTCCCTCCTCTCTGCCGGTCGGAGAGTGCTGCCTCTGTGGGCGGGGGAGGGGAGCAGGGTTCTGCGCTTCCCTCCCTTCTAGTCCTCTTTTATGGCCACTTTCTTCTTCGGGCAGTTTGCTGGAGTCGTCCGTTTATCTTCCGTGTCCCAGTTCTCACTGGGACCTGCCGCTTTTCCTCCCTATTAACTTTTTTTAATGGGAGATCTTACTCGCAGCGTCTCCTCGCCGCCATGTTGCTCCGCCCACTCCTTTAAAATTCTTAATATCATTCACAAGGCCCTGTTTAATCTAGTTTCTACCTACTGCCTCTCTCCATTCCTCACGCCACAAACTGCTTTTTCCAGTTCATGCATCAGTCCCCACAACAAGTGTTAAAACTACTGAACGTTACTCCCTAGGCCAAGAATAATGTCCCACTCTTTTCCACTTTCTACTTCCTGTTCATCCTCAGGACTCAGTTAACTGTCACTTCTTCATAAAGCCCCATATATTGCATTTTAATTCAAATCCCTAACACCTGAAAGTTTCCTTCATTAATTTTTCTCCATGGTATTTATGCAGGTATGTGAGTATTATATATCGGGTTGTGGGAAAAGTGATGGTACACTTTTGCTCGAAACAATAGAAAAAATATGTCACTCTTCCAACAACCCAGTAAATAGTTTAAAATCTTTATCGTAAACAAATTTTTTTAACCATTACATTGTAAATGACTGATAAACACCTGACAAATAATTGTCAGGTATTTTTGTTTGTTTAATTAATACAACGAATGAACTGTAGCTGGAGTAGGTTCTAATTCTAGCTCTCCAACATTAACTGTGTGGTCTTCTCTTGTCTTGTTCTTGCACTTAGTTTATTCTCAGTTAAGTCTTGATTTTATACCTCATTCGATTTTAACATTGTTCAACAAATATTAAGCTTCCGCCAAGGAGCTTACAACCCATAAGGAGGACCAACATGAATGCAAAATTGTAATGGAAACAAGACTGGGTTAAGACTTGTGTGAAGTGTTTATTGTAGGGTTGTGTAAATTTGCAAAGAGTTCTAGCTACTGCCCCAGACTGGCCCAGGGCAATAACTGTTACCTCCTCCTTTGCCATGGATATTAGATCAGAACTGGACCTATAAATTCATCTGCTGCAAAACATTTCCTGTCTTTGCCCCAGGCTCTATGGTAGGACAATTAATGTCTGAGGCTTTTATTCAGTGATTAAATATGAGGACACTTTCTACATGTACAGCTGTGTAGCCATTTTGCTACAATAAGAAGCCAACTTGAAGACCAACCCATCTCGTGGGCAGAAATCGCCTAATAAATAAATAAATAAATAAATACCAGAATTAATTTTGATACCCCCAACTCTCTTCCTGTCAGTTGTCTTGAGCCAATACTTTTCCTTCACAGTTCTAGATCTCAGGATGGTTTTCTGTTAGTTGCAACCAAAAGAATTCTGAAGTAGAAAGCTCCCTTATCTCCTCCACTTCAGATTACTAATCTGGCATGTTTTTCAAACTATGCTCCTGATATTCAATAATCATTTAAAGGAAAGCTTGAGTGGTAGAGTAAAAAGGATGCCTCTCTTTACTATCGGGAACAATTCAGCAATGATATACAATGATATTGTATATACTAATCATCAAAAAGGTATCTTTGCACTACTTGGGTCTAACTGCCTTATAATGTGGTCAAAATATCCTTGAAGGAGGAGACAAGCAGGAGAGAGCTGTGGTAGTCTCACCACCCCTGTAAGCCACATATAAAATACCTCCTCCAACCACATGCACAACTGTTCCTCCAGCAGAATTCCATTCAGCACAATTGTGTCATTACATCCTCAATGATAAAATGTATTACACTTGATGGATTGAGGCTTTAGCTAAACTACCACTTTAATCTGGCTCCAATAAAAACCAAATATTATCATTACATTGTCTCAAGTTCCTAGATGGAGTCAAAGAGTCTCAAAAGTGGCTTTTCCACTTGTTAGCTGTGTAACTTTAGCAGTCTTCATCTAATTTTTCTAATCTATAAAACAAGTATGATTGCTCCTGATCTCAGAACGTCACAGGATTATAAGGTAAGGTATATATAAGTGTACTTAATAAATTTACAAAGTGATAGCTGATAAATATCTTACGTCTTACATCTAAACAGCTTATAAACACACACCAAAAATAAAAAGTATAAAGAAGCACTCAAATACCTTTACAATATATCCTAGTATATTTTTTTTTTTAAAGATTTATTTATTTATTATTTATTTATTTTTATTTTATTCTGGGTACAGTCAGAAGCGCAGGAGGGTGAGAGAATTCACCAGAGCCAGAGCGGAGAGCAGAACAGGCGGCAGGAGAGGTCTGCGCACCATGTGGGGCCCTCGCCCGGGTGGCCGGGGATCGAACCGGCGCTGCAGAGGCCGCGGGCAGCCTCGCAGCCCAGCGCTCAACCGCTGCGCCACCAGGGGAGGCCCCCTATATCCTAGTATATTTAGAAGAGTATTCAACTTAGTTTGACAGTGCATGACATGTTGAGATTAGGTCTAAGTGTGTGTATTATTAATTCTTTCCCTTCCTGTCTCTGAATCCATCAGTCCTCCCTGGTTTCAACATCTTTTTCCTTTTCACTAAATTTTTTCTCTCCCTATAATCATGTTCAAACCTACTATCCTTCTCCAAGCATATATCTATTTTAATCACATTTCTTTGCTACTTTATATTTTGCAAGTACCATTTACTGAAATTAATAGCAAAAAAATACAACGAATTTATCTTTCAATTTTATATCCCCAACTTTTTGTTCTCAAACTTTTCAACACAAAGAAAAATTGAAAGCATAATGCAATGGATACCTGTATACATTCCAATTAGATTCAACAATTATTAATATTTGAAAAATGCTTATCAAGATACACACACTTAGTGTAGTATAATAGTGGCATACATATGTAGTATATTCAGATGTTGAATTATAATGATGCACATGTTATAATGCACATACTTAGACCTAATCACAACATGCCTAATTACCTTCCATGTGCCCCGCCTGCAAATCCCATTTTACTGAGGATGAGGGCTTCAACATATGGCTTTTAAGAGAAAACAGGTAAGTCCAACACCCTTCCTAAAATTCACCTTTTGGCTATTGTGGATAATACTGCTATAAGATTAATTAACATGGGTGCACAAATATTTCTTTGAGATCCTGCCTCCAGGATTCTTTGGGTTATGTACCTTAAGCAGAATTTTTTGATTATATGGTACCTTCATTTTTATTTTCTAAGATATTGCCATACCATTTTCCAAAGTAGCTACACTATTTAGCATTCCCACAAGTGTTCCAACTTTTCCTTATCCTTATCAATACTTGTTATTTCCTGTGCTGATAGCCATCCTCGTAGGTGGGAGCTGGTATCTCATGGATTTGATTTGCACTTCCCTAACGATTAGGGAACATTTTTTCATGTGCTTATTGGCCATTTTTGTATCTTCCTTAGAGAAATAGCTAGTCACATAATGATACTGTGATTTATAATAGAAATATATATGTATGCATGCATGTGTATCTGCCTCTTGTTCCTGACATACAAACCATAGAACTGTTGTAAATTCCTAAGTGATAAGAGCATGAGGAGCACCTTTTGTCTCCTAATATTTTATTTTTTTTAAAGATTTATTTATTTATGCATACAAGAGCTGGTGTACAGGCCAGAGATGTGGCGGGTGAGAGGATTCACCAGAGACAGAGTGGGGAACAGAACAGGCAGATTGACCGAAGTACACTGCTGAGGGGAGCAGCAGGAGAGACAGGAGAGGTCTGCTGCGTCATGTGGGTGGCTCCCTGGCAGACCGGGGGATTGAACTTATGCTGCAGAGGCTGCGGATTTCTTCATAGTGCAGTGCTTAACCCCTTGTGCCACCAGGGAGGCCCCTGTCTCCTAATATTTTAGACCTTTTTTTTTTTTTATGATTTTAGATTCCAGTCTAGTATCTTTGACACAGGTCTCCTAAAACCCTTGTAATTTCCAGGGTGATAGGTGTGCTTTTCGTTGTAAGGAAGCAACTATATGTGAGCTCCTGAATGGGGGATGGTCACAGAAAGGACCAAGCCATGATTATAAGCTTGGCATTTTCAGGCACATATAGCTCTTATTCTTCCTCCCTTTTCATTGTATTTCCATTCAAACTGTTTTATTTTTCTTTTAGACCTCTCACTACCTAAAATTACGTTAATTCATGGTTTATGGATACACTTATTTCCAGAGTTCCTAGCCCCCACTAGAATATAAGTTCCATGAAGACAGGGACTTTGTTCTCCACTATGCCCCTTCGGCCAAGCATATAGTTTGACTTATATTAAGCATGAAATAAATGTTTTCCTGAAGAATGAATAAATGAATCATTTTATTTTCATTCAAAAAGGGGAGGTAACATTTCAGCACTAAAAGAAATGGTATAATCAAATGAATGGAGGCTGGAAATTGCAGGTTATTCTACAAGCAGTAACAATAGCTAAGACTCATTAAAGTGCTCATTACGTGCCAGGAATTTCCAAGTACTGGAGCCACATACTTCTAGGGGTGCGCGCCAACCTTGATCTCTTGAAATATTCTGCAAACCTCTTTGTGTTCTGGGAGCCTCCTCTCTAGCCACGGTCGATTGCATTTGGAGGGAATGCTGGCGAAGAAAAGCCCATCTGTTAGGCAGGGGGGATGCAATCTGATTCTTTTTCTTAAAAATTTGTACTGAGTGATGTGCACACTAAAGAAGTTTGAAGATGAGTCATGTTAATGGCAGGACATTCTTGAGTGAAGGCAACAGCTGTTGGGATTCTTGAAGCTGAACTGATATCTGCCCAGATTTTTGAACTCTGTTGTTCAATGTTTTTTGGCTTAATGACATGAATTACCCTGCTGTCCTCTTAGTTAGCTCCATTCCCTGCATTTTAAAATCTAACATCAGTTCATATCATTGTTGTGTTGATTATTTCTTTTCCGATAAACAAAAAAGCAAACTATCTCAAGGAAACTCATTGTTTTACTTAATTCTTGCAACACTATAAGAAGGTATAACTGTTCTCATTTTGCAGAGGAGGAACAAGACTTGAGCAAGTCCAATACCTTTCTGAAATCTCAGAGCAGCAAAGATTCCAATCCTGGGCTGTTTGACTACAGAGAGGAGCTCCGATCTATGCTTGCAGGAAGGGCAGAGGAACTGTTGTAGAGATGAGGTCAGGGCAAACATTTTTCACCCTGTAGAATAAATGAGGAAAATGACTCTAATAACAGCAATGGGGCAAAGAACAGATTTCATTCTGTTTTGGGAGAAGAGTCAGCAATTTTTTCTTTCTTAACATTTCGACAATTGTTAGCAGAGGCAGGTTTATACCAACACAGAATGTCTATGTGATGAAAACTTTCTCTCCTCCCATTGACAAGGTTGACAGTTTTTAAAAATGATGGGATACTTTTTTATAGCAATATTGAAGATGGAGTCTTAATGATGTATATATTCAGAGCTGACTTAGAGTTGACTGTCACAGGGTTTACATTTCTTGTCATGCTTGAAAACTCCCCAATGCTTGCATGTCTAGAGAAGCTCTGCTGAAGATGGTCTGACTTAAGTGAGGTCATGACTACAGAATTCCAATGTACTTCCTTGGGGAGGGGCAAATGGAGGGGGAGGAAAAGGGATTGATGTAGAATTTTAAAAGAGTAATCAATAAAACAAAAGACATGTGATTAAAAATCACTTAGAATTTGCCCTATATGACATCCTTGCTGTAACAGAAAGAACAGGTAGAAAAACTTGTTTTCTCCAATGCAAAGTGGACTATTTTTCAAGACTTTAGGAAATAATGTGCTTGAGAAATAAGTGGTAAGCTTCAGCTCTTTCATAAACATCAAATGATGTACTTGGAAACATTAATGTGCACACCAGACACAATTTTGCTGCTTTGGTAATTATTTAAACAATGTTTTAAAACTCTAGTTTCTAGCAAGAAACTCGAATGACTTCTTTTTCATATTTTATGGATTTGCCAATCATTTATATAATGATTATTTTATAAAAGAAGAGAACAACAAAATATTATTAAGAAAAAGATATTTTTCTTTTCTCTGGGGTGTTGACCAAGAAGAATGTGAAGAGGCTAAAATAAAATAATAGCGTTTATTTGCTGGGTGGGGTTGTCTTGGATTTGCAAATCAGGGAACACAACCTCAGGTATGAGTTCAACTTGTGCTCCATTTAGGTCTTTGTTTAAGAGGGTTTAAAAGGAAAAGATATGGGCAAGAAGGGCAGCATTGCAAAAACTTACATTGTTGTAGATTCAATTTTTTTGCAGTTCATTGACTTTCAGTGCCCTTGGTTACTCTGGAGAGAAAAAAAAGAAAAAATAATTTTCTTTGCACAGTTCTTAGAGAAGGTCATCCCAGCTGGAAACTGGTTCTGGCTAGTTAGTAAATTATCTTTTTTAAGTTAAAAGTTCAGTTACCTTTTGGGCCTCCCTGGTGGCGCAAGGGGTTAAGATGTAGCCTGGGAAGCTATCCGCAGCCACTGCAGCAGGAGTTCGATCCCCAACCAGGGAGATGACCCACATGGCGCAGCAGACCTCTCCTGACTTGCCTTGCCCGCTGCTCCCCTCTGCAGTGTGTTTCAATCAATCTGCCTGTTCTGCTTCCCACTCTGTCTCTGGTGAATCCTCTCACCCCTCACACCTCTGGCCTGTACCCCAGTTCTTGTATGCATAAATGAAAAATAAATGTTGAAAAAAAAGTTCAGTTACCTTTCAACAAGATGGCATTAATTCAGTCAGCCTAAACATTTCTTTTCACTGTAGGTATTAACAGTTTAGGAAGCAAAACATTGATACAGTGAAGAAACTGGTCCTTCCAGTGCCACAGGACCTACCACTCACCTTGTGTCTTGGCAGTCCTTGCTGTCACTGGGCCTGGGCAAGGCAGAGGCACACATCAAGCTGCGCTGTCTTCCTGCCAAGGTGTTTACTGGTTTGCAGCTAAAGTCTCATTGTAACAGGGTGGTCCCCCCCCTCCCTGTCCTATAACAACATCACATCATGATGTGAGATGAGAAGTGGCGGCCTGTGTTGGGGGACACTCAGGAGACAGAGGACAATGAGAACTGCCAGATGTTTAAATCATGGTCCCTTGTGGAGAGGGCCAAGGTTTTCTTTGAATATTTCTCTTCTTAGATGAGGAAAAGTTTAAATAAATATGGTGGTTGGTGTTTCTTACCTTTTTGAAGGAAAAAAAAATGGTTCTAATCTAGGGGTGATTTCACCCTCCAGGGGATAGTTGGCATTTGGCAATGTCTGGGAACATTTCTGGTGGCCACCGTTTGGGGGATGCTACTGGCATCTGGTGAACAGAGGCCTAGGATGAAGTTAAACATCCTACAATGCATGGGTCAGCTCACTCTCCCCACCCCAACAAATAACTCTCTGGCCCCAAATGTCAATAATGCCAAGTTTGAGAAATCCTGCCCAACAAATCTAGCAGAGAATTTCAGTGAGAAAAATTGAATTCTTTTATCAATGGGAAAAACTCACGCTTCTGCTTTTTCTTTCTAAAGAGATGGTTTTTTTCATAAGCTGCTATTTATGCAGTTCCTATGCCAAAGATATAAAAAAAATCAGAGGAGTGAAAAACCTGCAAAGTAGTTAATTTACACTTTTTTTTTCTTTGACAACACATTCACTAGTTTCCAAAAGTGAAAGGGCAGTGACCAGGCTGCAGGAGAGCAGCCTGAATGCAGCTGCATCCCGGTGGCACAAAGGTAACAATTAATCCCCACTCTGCCTTTTCTTTGACAGTTCAAAATCCGACTAGGTAATGAAAACTGAAATGCAAAGTATTTGAAATGATTAAACTCTTAATTCGAGGCGACTGATCTTTTTTGTCAAGCACATAAAAGCTCACCTGCAAAGTTGGTGATACTCATTTGCTTTCCGCCAAGTTCTGCACCTTGAAGCAGCTGTCAAGATCTAAACTTTAAATGGCACTTTATTTCTACGTGGACTGAATTCACACTGTGATAGGGCAGGTGTTCATGCAGTGAAACCGCGAGGCCTTTGTCACATGAAAAAAAAGTCCCCGCTAAGCTGAAAACTCCCTGGCACACAATCAATGACCGATGCTCAAATGCACTTAAAAGTCTCACTTAGCGGCATGGGCCCACTTCTGGGTTTCCTAATGTTCTGCGGACGTCACGACCAAGACCAGATGAGGCTGCTGGCCTCCGCATTTTTAGAAGGGGGGGGAACTTGCGTTTGCAGCCGGTGCCGCCCCCACCACTGGCTGACCTTGGCCCATGGCCTTGCGCCCCAGCCGCCCTCCACCCAACAACCCCAGCTCACAAGTCTCCCAGGAGCCTGGCAGCAGGAACTTTTTAAAAATAATTTTTAGGACAGGATGAGAGGAGATTGGAAAGTATGAGGAACCTCCATATTGTTTTTGTTTTTTGCACAGAAGAACTGGGGGTGAAGGCCAGAGGTGGGGGGATGGGCAGGGGGGTGAGAGGATTCACCAGAGACAAAGTGGGGAGCAGAACAGGTGGATCTCCTGAAATACACTGATGAGGGGAGCAGCAGGCAAGACAGAAGAGGTCTGCTGTGCCATACATGGGGTTAGCTCCCTCGCTGGGATGGAACTTAGGAGTGATAGCACTGAGACTTACCCCCTCAGCCACCAGGGAGACCCCCTCCATACTGTTGTCTGTCAGGTCTGCACTAGTTTATATTCCTCCTCACAGTCCACAAAGCTTCCCTTTGCTCCACATCCTCCTTTCAAGATGAGGGGTTTGGATGCTGGGGGACACCACACCGGATTTTTATAGGTAGCAGCACTATCTGGAAATCTAATTCTGGGAATAATTCAGGGATCAGTAACCTCCAAAGACCTACTCTGAGAGTGTCTCTCTTAGTCCTGACAGCTCTCCCCCATTATTCTTCATCTAAACTACTTCGGAAAGTCTCCTACATCCCAGCTCCTGGCAGTTACCTTTTCAAAGTCTCATTGATTTCTGAAGATTATTTTCACTTGTATAGAATTCTAAGTTGCTTTTTTTTTCTTTCTTATTTATTTATTTATTTTTATTTGTTTGTGTGTTTATACATGCACTGGGTACAGTCAGAAGCACGGGAGGGTGAGAGAATTCACCAGAGCCAGAGCGGGGAGCAGAGCAGGCAGAAGGACCGAAGTACACTGCTGAGGGGAGCAGCACAGGAGAGGTCTGCGCGCCATGTGGGATCCTCCTCTGGTGGCCGGGGAGCAGCCGGGGATCGAACTGGCACTGTAGAGGCCGTGGGCAGCTTCACAACCCAGCGCTCAACCGCTGAGCCACCGGGGAGGCCCAGTTGCTTTTTTTTCTACCAGCACTTTAAGGATATATTTCTATAATTATTTGGCATCTTAGGTTGTTTGCATATTTTGCCCATTGTAAATAATGTTGCAGTGAACATGAGGTGCAGATATCTCTTCAAAACAACGATATCATGTCCAGTGCTATGTATCCAAAAGTGGAGTGCTGGATAATATGCTATTTCTACTTTGAATTTTTTGAGGAACCTCCCTACTGTTTTTTGTCTGGTCTTCACCAATATACATTCCTCCTGACAGCCCACAAGGCTTCCCTTTTCTCCACATCCTCACCAGCATTTATTGCCACTTGTCTTTCTAATAAGTCATTCTAACAGGTATGAGGTGATATCTATTACGGTTTGGATTTGCATTTGGATTACCCTGTTGACTTAAAGGAACACTTTTTCCTGTACTTGTTGCCCATTTGTACATCTCTTTTGAGAAAAATCTCTAAGTACTCTGTCCACTTTTTAAATTAGATTTTTAAAAATCGAGTTATGTGAGTTCCTTATACATTTTGGTTATTAACCCCTTGTCAGCTAAATAGTTTGCAAATATTTACTTCCATTCCATAGGTTGCCTTTTCATTTCCTTGGTCATTTTTGTTGTTGTACAGAGCTTTTTAATTTGATATAGTCCCACATTGATTTTTGCTTTTGTTCCTTGTGTTTTGGTGATATATATATATATATATATATTTATATTTATATATTTCCCCCCCACAAGACTCACCTTAAAGAGCGTTCCCCTATTATTTCCTCCCTATGGTTTCAGATCTTTTGTTTAAATTAGTAATCAATTTCACGCTAATTTTTTTTTTTTTTTAATAGAGGCATGCTTTATTTATTTGTTTGCTGGTTTGTTTGTTTGTTTTGTTTATACATGCACTGGGTACAGTCAGAAGCGCGGGATGGTGAGAGAATTCACCAGAGCCAGAGCGGGGAGCAGAGCAGGCAGAAGGACCGAAGTACACTGCTGAGGGGAGCAGCGGGCGGCAGGAGAGGTCTGCACGCCATATGGGACCCTCCTCCGGTGGCCGGGGAGCAGCCGGGGATCGAACCGGCGCCGCAGAGGCCGCGCGCAGCCTCGCAACCCAGCACTCAACCGCTGCGCCACCGGGGAGGCCCTCACGCTAATTTTTTTGAAAGTGGTGTTAAGTCAAGAGCCAGTTTCATTCTTTTGCATGTTAATATCCAGTTTTCCCAACACCATTTATTGAGGAGACAATCCTTTCTCCATGGGGTGTTTTGACCTTCTTGTCAAAGATAAGTAAGACCAAAAATGTATTTCTTACTGTGGTTAGAAAACTTTGGGAGTCAGTGGTGGTGTGCAGGAGATGCGCTACAAAAACATACTACATTTGAAAATAATGCAAAAGAGAGTACAGGATGTTCTTTCAATGTCAAACTAGAGCAAAGTTTACAGAGTCCTATCCCTATCCCGCAGGATTCTCTGTGATGTCAAAGTGTGTCTCAGTCTTGGGGACATAAGCATGGGGTCACGAAGACCCGAACTGCCAAAATCAAAGACAAATGTAACGGTATATGAGAGTCCGTTAAATTGCACTTTAAAAGACAGAATTCGGGGAACTAAAACAATTGCAAACCCCGCCTCAAGTCGGGCCAATCATCCCCTCTTGGTCTCTTGATTGGCCAGTGCCACGCAAACGCTCTGGACTAAACATGCTTACTTTTAACATTGATTGGCATGATAAGGAATTCATCTGTGCCCAGAGATTGGCTGACCTGGGTCGGCTCTGGCCAATCCCGAGAGGGGCGGGCTGGTTAAGCGTCAGGTTTCCCGGAGCCACCTTCCTGGGATGTACCGGTCAGCCTAGAAACTGGCTCCTCTTCTCCCTTCTCTCGGGCCCTAAGACAGTGTCTGATGGAGCTTTCCTACCAGACCCTCAAAGTCACTCACCAGGCGCGGGAAGCGGTAAGAAAAGCATATCCAAAAAAGAACTGTATGGGGAACGCCTGTCACCTTGTAGGTGCAGGCCGATTCGCGCGTCTCCGGTTGCTCCGGCGACAGAGCCTCGCCGAGAGGCGCAAGCGCAGTGAGGGCCCTGAGCCCCCACCCCGCCGGGTCAATCCCCAGGCTGGTCAAGAGGGCGAGTTGCGGGAAGGGTGGGTCTGTTAGAATTTGGGAAAAGTGAAAATGAGACTGTTTTAAGGCCGGAACCTCTGATCTGGGAGTTAGAATACTGGTTCTTGGTCCTGATTAGCCAAGACCAAGACCGACCTGGGGGACTCAGTCCCCCTTTGGAAAGAAAGGTAGTTGGACTAGAATCCTTTTCTCAGGAAGAGTACATTAACTTTGTAATATATACTCTGGTTTCCTATTGTTTGTGTCATTTGCTAACTGGTCAATGTTTTCACAACGGTGAACTTGAATTGAGTACATCCTATGAGCCAGACACTGGGGAAATAAAAGGTATCCTTTAGGAAAAAGAAAATAGACTAAAAATTAAAGTTAAAAAACACTGATACTTGGATCCCACCTCCAGAGAGTCTGTTTTACTTGTTTGGGCTGGATCTTGTGCATGAATATTTTTTAACGGCTCAACAGGCGATTACAGTGTGTAGCCAAGGTTATGAACCAACTCTTTAGTGTCTCCACCTTAAAAAAAAAAAACACCTCATAATACAAATAAATAAATTAAATTAAATAAAAGCCCTCTGTTTGGCCTCATATCTTCCTTTATCTAACAACCTCCTGACTCCGCAAAGATTTGGCTATATTTGCTATTGCTACTGGACTGTGTTTTACCCACTCTAATTTGAGCCTGGACTACTTGCTTCAGAAGCTTTTAGGTTGACTTTTCATAAAGCAAATTCCTGGACCTCACCAAGACTTTACTGAGTCAGAAACTTTCTGGAATGGGCCTCAAAACTTGCATGTGAACAAACATTCCAGGTTTGAAAACCACTGCCCTAGACATTCTCATATGTTTGCATGATTTCTAATGCCATTTATCTGCCAACAACTCCCCCACATTGACTTAGACTCTACTTTTTTTTGCTGAGCTCCAAACTCATGTGGTTTCCTAGAAGATGGAATATGGACAGAATAATAAATCAATTGATTACTCCACACATCTAGTGGGGTGTCTCAATTATTTGCTTGTTAAGTTGCCCAATAATTGTTAATATTCTCTAAAACCTGTATACCTTTCCTGACCTTCCTCCATCTGGGAATGTGAAACCACCATTCACCCACCTGCTAAAATAAGAGTTCTGATAATAATCCTTAGTGCCTTCTTCCTTCTTTTTTTTTTTTTTTTTTTTTTAAATAAATAAATCTTTTTTTTTTTTTTTAAAGATTTATTTATTTATTTATTTATACAAGAGAACCCAATAGAGCCAGAGCAGGGAGCAGAGCAGGCAGAGGGACCGAAGCACACTGCTGAGGGGAGCAGCGGGCGGCAGGAGAGGTCTGCGCGCCATGTGGGACCCTCCTCCGGTGGCCGGGGAAAAGCCGGGGATCGAACCGGCGCTGCAGAGGCTGCGGGCAGCTTCGAAACCCAGCGCTCAACCACTGCGCCACCAGGGAGGCCCCAGTGCCTTCTTCCTTCTTGTGTCTCCCAGCCCCCCCCCCCCACACACCCATAGAAGGAAGGCATCAGCAAATTTTATGAATTGTACTTCTATAATTGGTCTTTAATCATCCATATCTCCCAGGCCACCATCTGGATCCAAGTCATCATAAATATAAATCTCTCACGTGAACCACTTCAATAGCTTTTAATTATTCTCCTCCCACCCCTTGTGGTTGTTTTCTCCCTCTTTAGTCCATTCTTCATCCAGTGATCAGAGTCATTGTAAAATTGTGTCATGTCTTGTTGGGATCATTTTAGTGACTTTCCATTACACATTTGGGTTAAAATCCTTGACATGACCTACAGAGCATTGCAACGTATTCACAGCCACATAACACCCACATCATCCTCCTTTTCTCTTTCCACTTTGCCTCTCTCTCTGGTCTAGACACATTCATTCTAATTTGACATGTCTCAGATAATTTGTACATTTCAAGTTAGCATTTAATTATGATTATTTTTATTTTATTATGTTTCCTGTGTGTTACCTAGCCCCTCAAACAGAACATATAACTTGAAGGTAGAGGCCAGTGTTAATTTTTTGTTTTATTCCCTAAATGGTACTGAGAGCAATATTTAGGTATGCTTATCAATGTCTTGATTTCTTGGGCTCCAAGTACAAGGATTGTGCTGGTTAGGAGTCTGAAGAAGGGAATAAGATGGAGATGAGGGTGCAGATTGGTGAATTAGAGGTATTTCATTTTTCCTTGTGGCTGCGTAGTACGCCATAGTGTGGCTGTATACATCTTGATTCAGTTGCCTGTTTGATGGACATTTAGGCTACTTCCATGTCCTCGCTAGTATAAATAATGCTGCAATTAACATTGTAGAATAGAGAGAGAGAGAGAAAGAGAGATAGATAGATAGATAGATAGATAGATAGATAGATAGATAGATAGATAGATAGATAGACTTGCTTTTTAGGGTTTGAATGTACCATTCTTGGTCAGCCTGCTTCCCACACTTGATAAAGTGCCCTCCTTCGTGCAATGAGAAGACCTCCCATGTCAGGTTGTTATAACTGACTGTTTTCTTGTTGATCCCTCCCTGCTCACTGCCAGTAGACTATACGCTCCTTGAAGCCAAGGCCATTGGCAAACCTCTTTTCTGACTGATAAACTGACCACGCCTTTACCAGGCTTTTCTGTCTTTACATACTAAATATCTGGGATGTTTTGAAAATTCAGATTCTGATCCAGTAGTTGCAGGGTGGTGTGTGTATCATCAACTCCCATGTAATATACTGATGTTGCTGGTGATCTTACGTAGCAAAAATCTAGGAGTGGAGAAATTTCCTTTGCTTCATTTTAAATTTAGTGTTTAATTAAAATAAGATTATATCCAATCTGTAAACCTCTGCCACTTTCTTTTTTCAACTGGAATATAACATCCTCTAAAATGTGCTAAGGGCAAGGAAACTCTGAGGAGCAATTGCTTCAGTGTTTTTAATTTGACCACACAATTAAATACAAACAATTATTGGTATCAATGCACAAGAATGGTTTTTGGAAAGCCATAATTGATCTCCATATTCATGTGTACACATAAAATAATCTTGAAACAGGTTACTGTTATTTAATCGCCTGTGTTAATCCATGTACTTTTTGAAAGTTGTGACTTTGCCCAAATGAAACTTCTATATTAAAAATATGGACTATAAGTGTTAGCTAATTAATGAGAGGGTTGACTAGGTTTTAAAATGTGTGTTGTTAAATGCCTTAGCTTTTATTAATTGCATGAGCCCCTAAAAAAAAAACCCAGAGTAATTGAAAATTTAATTACACCAATGTTTTTCTTCAAAGAACTAAGGCTTATTAAACTTTAAATGTTCAAACATTTAAGCATCTATTGAAATACCAATAGCTATAAACAATGTGTAGTTCTAAATACTAATTAAACAAACTCTAAATCACAATAAAGCTAAGCTGAATTTTAAGTAACTCTTATGTTTTAAGTGCTCTGCTCCTACCCAAGGAAGATTAACCACTTCGCTGCTTCCTTGCCCTTAGCACATTTTAGAGGATGTTATATTTCAGTTGACCATGGCTACAGCCTTGTGGGCATCTTTTTATTTTATTTTATTTTTTAAAGATCTATTTATTTATGCACACAAGAACTGGGGTACAGGCCAGAGGTGTGGGGGGTGAGAGGATTCACCAGAGACAGAATGGGGAACAGAACAGGCAGACTGACTGAAGTACACTGCTGAGGGGAACAATGAGTGAGCCAGGAGAGGTCTGCTGCACCATGTGGGTTTCTCCCTGGCTGGCAGGGGAATTGAACTCGTGCTGCAGTGGCTGCGGACAGCTTCATAGGTTGTGTCTTAATCCCTTGCACCACCAGGGAGGCCCTGGGCATCTTTTTAAAAACTGTGGCTGCTCTTGAACCATAGTCTTCCTGTACCTGGATTGAGAAAGGGAGACTGATTTGAGAACCAGGGACTGAAACAGCTCACTAACATCACATTGCTGTTCCTTGGAGGTTTTTTTTGTTTTTTGTTTTTTTTTAACCACAAGAATATGAGACTATAAAGATATGAATTTATGTATTTTATGTTTTGTCAAAAACATTCTTTCTTTTAAAATATCAGATGCTTTCACTTATAGGAGGAACATAAGGTAACCAACCAAAAGGTCGGGGGTGGGGGGAAAGATTAAACTAGCAGGCAAATTACAGAATTTGAGACATAGGGGGGATGTGGAGTCAAAACAGGGGAGGAAAGAGCACAAGGGACTATGGTTATGATGGTTCATTGATGCTCTGGTGGTGGGAGATATGGGGGGATTATATCTGAGGGCAGAAATCAAATATTGCACAAAAATTTAAGCAACAATGTAAGAAAAATAAAACAACAAAATTTCTTTCTTTTTTTTGTAAATTAACATTTACTAGGTTTTATTTTCATTTACGTATTTGTTCTTTAAACATCCTTATTTTTTCACAATATAGGATTTCTCCCCTCAGATACCAGGCTTCATTTTTAAATGGAAAACGTATAAATCTCATCACCCTGATAAGCCTTGTAAACATTAAGAAAGTTGATCTAGCCTTCTGCTCTCAACTGAGATAAAGGAGCTGGTACCAGACTTCTGCTTTTTGCAACTAAGGAGACTGGACTAAGGCTGTGCATCCACTGTTTTCAGGCATCGGGCAGTGTCCTGAGAGAAGCAATACCTGGGACGGGTACGGGAGGGAGTGCCCAGGCAGAGCACAGTAATTTTGTTGAGGTGGAGAGACAGCCTGGAATTTGGGAGGACTTAAGAGGTTAGATTGAGGCGGCAGAGGACCAGAGGTGAGGGAACTATACAAACTGCTCCGTAATTCTGAATTTGGGACTGAGGACAAAGCTGCGCACACATAAAATGAAAATGTATGAAACTGGAGAGAGACCAGTTGATAGCTTTATTGAATGCTTCTCTAAAAAAAGGAAAGAGGAGCCTCCCTGGTGGCGCAGCGGGTTGAGCACAGCGCTGTGAAGCTGTCTGCAGCCTCTGCAACGTGGGTTCAATTCCCGGCCGGCCAGGGAGAAACCCACATGGCGCGGCAGACCTCTCCTGTCTCGCCCGCTGTTCCCCTCAGCAGTGCTTTTGGTCTGTCTGCCTGTTTTGCTCCCTGCTCTATCTCTGGTGAATCCTCTCACCCTCCCTCGCTTCTGGCCTGTACCCCAGCTCTTGTATAAATAAATAAATCTTTAAAAAGTAATAAAAAAGGAAAGATATTTTACAAATTTTTATGATGGAATCTTTTTTCCTGTGTGAGGCACACACTTGGATTTGAAAGAGCTTTCACTTCTGACTAGTGGAGACTTTATTAACGCACAGAGACTGCTGGAATGACAATGCCCCCTGAACTTCACTGGAGGTGTATCGCAGAGTAGAACGTTCAAGAATTTTTCTGCTGAATTGTTGCTATCATTAGCAATAGAACTCCTGACTGCAAATTTTCCCAAGTGGAGCTTCTCCACGAAAGTTTTCCAATGAAGTGAAAATTTAAGGTTTTATTTTCTGTGTGGGGAAAACCCCTGTGTGTGCGTGTCTTCCCTGTTTGTGTCTCCTTTACCTTTGTCGAGAACATGCACTCTGGTCATCAGATGTGTGCAGCTTTGTCCCCACTGGCAGTCCCCAGTAACACAGTGGGTGTCCTACAGTCGAAGTCAATTCTGACACTCTCTACTGGTAGATAGCTTCTGCTTCAGATCCCACAGGCCACGGGCTCACTGTTACAAGACTGACCTTCAGTCTACATCCCTCCGCCCCTGCCGACTCTAGATTTCAAAGGCCAGTTGCAAGTCCACAATATCACTTGTGCTTCTGACCAACCAGCTTTAGCTCTATTGTCATTTTCAGTGAAGAGGTTTGTATTCGTTTTCTAGGGCAGCCATAACAAAACCCCACATATTGGGTGGCTGAAACAATAAATATTTTTTCACAGTTACGGAGGATAGAAATCAAGATTAAGGTGTTGGCAATTTGGTTTCTTCTGAGGCCTTGCTCCTTGGCCTTGCAAACAGCTGACTTGAGGGACCTCTGATGGTTTTTCCGCTAGCATCCGTGGACTCTGTCCAAATTTCCTCTTCTTTGGACACCAGTCAGAGTGGATTAGGACCCACTCTAACAGTGCATTTTAATGTAATCATCCTCTAAAGGCCCATCTCCACATATTCAGAGCTTTTCAGAGTTAGGATTTCAAGATGTGAGTTTGGGAAGGGGGACAGAATTTAGCCCACAACAAATTTCTTAAACATTTATATTAAATTTATTCCTAACTATTTTATTTTTATACACTATTGTAAATTTTATTCATTTAAATAGTATTCTTAAAATCTGTGTCTGAGAGTTGCAATAGCTCAAGACTCACATGGATCTATTTCAATTGTCTGTTATTCCTAATGTATCTCATTTATGTGTAGATCAGAGTAGTTGATAATTTATTTTCAAACACGAATTGAGATGAAGGGTGATTTTACCTTCCTGAGTAGGTGATTTAGGTTTATTTCTACCTTGTGCTGGGGTTGGGGGAGGATGAGCAAGATGGGGGTGGAGGAGGGGAGGGATTGTATATACTAACACTCTAGGGACATCACAATCCAATTTCCAGGAGTTATTTTTTTCTGGGCCACATAGGGAATGGAAAACTGAGCTTGGGTAGCTCAATTTCTTAATTTCCAGGTAGTTCTAATTCCTGGAAGGGATCCCTTCATATATTTATTACGTTCTCCTTTCTTGTTAGGTTCTGGATTCCAACTTCTGCTCCTGTAGCACCTATTTGAGGTTGCTGAGCACGTTAGTTAACATCTTAGCCTCTTAGAGGCTGTCAAATGTCCTTGGGATAAAGTGGCTTCAAATGCATGCTCATGTCTGTGCATCAGTGAATACACACACACACACACACACACACACTCATCGATATCTGTAAGATAAAATCCTAGAAGAAAAATTCCTATATCAGGGCCTCCCCTGGTGGTGCAGCGGTTCATCGCTGGGCTGCGAAGCTGCCCGCAGCCTCTGCAGTGCCGGTTCGATCCCCCGCCACCAGCGAGGGTCCCACATGGCGAGACAGACCTCTCCTGCCCCACCCGCTGCTCCCCTCAGCAGTGTATTTCATCAGTCTTCCTGTTCTGTTCCCTGCTCTGGATCTGGTGAATTCCCGCACCCTCCCGTGCTTCTGACTATACCCAGTGCTTGTATAAATAAATAAATCTTTAAAAAAAGAGAAAAATTCCTATATCAAATAATTTGTATGTAATTGAAATATGTGCACCTGTAGAATAAAATTATTGTAAAAATAAGTGAAAACTACCCAAGTGAAAACAAGCAGAAGCTATTAATTGACAGCTTGCTATGGCAAGGGAGTCAGCCACCACGCTTGTATTAGGAAGAGAATCAAAGGTAGGCAAGGAAATGGGAAAGCTTTAAAGTGGAAAAAAAGAAAGACTTCAGGCATTTTCTGTTTGGAGGTTGCTGACTTGGGAAAGCTGGAGGGGGTGCTAACTAAAGAAGCAGGATAGGGTAGGTGTTTGATTTGGAGAGCATACTTGGGTTTCTCTGATTGGTCCTGACTTGGAAGCTGGAGGCAAAAACAGGGAAAGTGGCAGTTGTTAGTCAAATCCTGACCATTCTGGGCCAATTGCTATAGGGGTTGTGAGTTAATTGTTAAGAGTTTATGGTGTGGTTTTCTGGAATGTTTGCTGCAGAGGTTGTGGTTTGACTTCCTGCGCTTATGTTGTTCTGGCCATTATTCATTTATATATTCAGTCTCATCCTAAAAGTGATATAGCTCTAACAAAGAACATCTATTTAACATTTTGCTCACTAACTTTCATAGAAGTTGCATCCACTAATAAATCTACTAGTAACATTTGATAATCGGATCCAACACAGCAGGCTAAGAATCTTTTGAATTTTACTCACCTGATAGATAAAACTTGTATCATAGGCTTTTTATTTGCATTTTTATGAGTGATCCTATTTTCACATATTTACGTTGTTTCCTTTTCTATGAGCCATCTTTTCCTATATTTTACCCATTTTCCTAGAAAACTATCGGTCCTTTATAAATTGATTTGTGGGTAGACATTATATATAAAGGAAAGTTGCCTTTTCAGTGTCAAGTGGTTTACTAATATCTATCCTAGTTTATTAGTCTTTTGACCTTGTTTTTTTTTATCGTTTTTATGTAGTCTTTTTAATTAATGGTTTCTGGGTTTATGTTCAATAAGGCCTTATCTACACTGAGATTAAACAAACAAAACCATGTCAAATGCTTTTATTTATCTATTAATACAAATACAATCGGGGAAATATTCATTAAAAGGATGTCATTGTTAACAAATAGGCAAGTTGACAACAAAAGTATAATTGATCTCTCTGAGGTGTGAGACTGAGGCTTCTCTTCTTCAGAATTTTGGAATTTTCTCGGGCAGGGGGCAGTGGCTGTGGCAGGTGGCAATTTGTAAGTTCAACACTTCAAAGCTATAGAATTTAGAATTTAAAAGTTCCCACAAAGCAAAACACTCCGGTCTTTTGTGGGAGTCCTCATCCCTAACCTCCCACCCACTGCCTTTGTATTCCTCTCCTCAACTTCCATCTCCAAGTCATGTCCTCAGTTTACCTTCGGGAGAATCTGTTCTTGAAGTCTCTAATTGTCTTAGCCATTAGTGGTGCAGTTTTCTTTGCAGGTTTCTTGCTGCTGGCAACCTGCACCCAGTGGGCACTGCTGGTGCCTGAGATAGGCTCAATGCTACTGCCACTGGCACTGCTGGAGGGAGTAGCACTGCTTCCTGTGGGGTAGCTGGATGGCTTGATCTTGATTTTTTCCGGAACAGCTGCTCCTATTTCAGATTTCTGCCTCCTTGAAATATCAGAAGGCAGGTTGGTCATAGAGTTGAAAAAGATCATCTTTGTTTGTCGACCCTTGGGTTTATTGGCATGTGCAGAGTGGATATTCATTGTTAGTGCTCGCAGCCTTTGCTCTCGGGCTTTCTGAAGCCGAAGATACATCTCCCGCCACGATTCATGCTCTGAGGGCATTTCTTTCTTAAATTTTTGGTTACAATGATTTTTCCACAATTTATCTGTTTCTTCAACCAGCATATGATTGTATTTTTCTATGCGATACAGCTGATCAGGGGTACAACTCTCCAAAACAGGTTCAAGAACAAAATAAGGTACACTGCTCACTTCAAAGATTGAATTGATGTTATTTTTAAGTACCCGAATGCATTGTTCCCGCAAGGTCATCATGTGGGGGAGACAGGCGTGCTTGGAGCCAGAAAACACCTGCATCTTAGAATTCATTCTGTACCCAGTAAATCCAGCTTCTTCCTCTCTCTGGGGGGAAGACAGTACTTTTTGCTCCGGTTGGTAGGAGGTTATCAGTTCAAATGCAGGAAGTGGAGGGTAATTAGCTGGTAGCCTGGGTGATGAGGGGTCAGGCAGGACTGGTAAAGCGCCACTGGGGACCGTGTCCAGCTTGGCGAAATGGGCCCCAGTTGGCTGTAGCTTCTCTGACTTCATTTCAGCCACCTCAGGGAATGCCTGACCCAAGTTCAAGTTTCCACATGTGCTTTTGGAATTTTTTTTCAGTCCCCTACGTTCAAGAGAAACAGCTGATGTTTTCACAGTCTTTTTCTTTCTCTTCGGGGGCTGGTCATAGTTGAGGTAGGACTCAAAAGACATGGTGGGCTGCTCACAGCCATGATCCGTGTCTGCCTTCCTGACTTCAGGGAGTGAGCTCACGGACTGGCTCGCCAAGCTAAAAGTTTTTAGTTTCTCTTGCGTCTTTAGGTTGTTGGAAGCTTCTTTCACCTTGGGCAGCCGGTCTCCTGCCCCCTTTCCTGTGCATAGACTGTACACACTTTGCTTGTTTTCGTTAGATTTCTTGTTTTCTGGGTTGCTGCTCGTCTGCTTTTTAAAGCCATTGCCTGACATAGCCTCCGAGGCAGGGGGGGACCGCTGGGTGCTGCCCCCCTCTTTTTCCTTCTCTCTCAGGGCGCCCCCAGAGGGCGGGTTCTCCAGGGCGCTCCCCTGGGAGTAAGGCCCGGCCTCCTCTCGGGAGCAGGCTTGGTGTGACTTCTGGTTGGCGGGCACAGAGCCCGTCTCATTTCCCTGGGCACCCACTGGGCATCTGTCCCCGGGGGGAGACGGGTGCCCCTTGCGCGGACGCGCGGCCCGGTTCTCCTGCCGTGCGCGGCGGCGCTGGTCGCGACCCAGCCGCTGTCCGTCACGAGGCGCCTCGGAGCGGCCTTGCCCGGGCCTCCACCGTGCCCCGCGGGTCTCAGAGGGGCATCCATCACATTCCGGGGACCTCTGCCGAGGCCCAGCGGCCTTGGGAGGGGAAAGGCCGCAACCAGAAGATTCCCGATCCAAAGAATAAACGGGGGCGATTCCGTGGGCCCCTTGGCGTGGCCTCTCAGACTCGGGGGCTGTTTTGTGTTTTTTCTGTCGGTCCTCAGGCCCGTCCGGTCGGCTGCTGGAGACCTGGCAGTTTTCTTCGTGGCGCCCCTTCGCGCCCCCCTTCAGAGGGGCATCCCTGGGGCGCTTTCGGGAGTCGCTCTTCTCCGAGCGCCTTGCATCTGGCTCTGCGTTTCCTTCCAAAGGAACCAGCCTGTTCCACTTGGCCACCAGCTCCCTGGCGAGGCTGCCGACATGCTCGTGTGTGCTCAGCCGACCTACCGTCTGCCCGACCCCGGTCCTCCTCAGAACGGTTGCGGTGACTGGCAAGGCCGAGAGTTTCTTCAGATCTTTCCTCAGCCTCTTCGGGTCGGGGCTGGTGGCCAGGCGCAGCTGCAGCTCCTCCACCACGTAGGGCAACCACCCCTCCGCCATGGCTGGCGCTCGGCCCGCGAGGCCTGCTCTGCCCCCTGTGGTGGGCGGCTGTCCAGTCAGGCCCCGGGTGCGCGGGAGGCAGCCTCGGTGGGGGCAGCCTCGGTTCTCAGGGGGCAGGATGGAGCCACCCGCTGGAGGGACTGCTCCGGAGTGCAGTCCCAGACAGGATGAGGGCCCGCGCGCCAGGCCCCGCCTTATATATCCCTTCCCCCTCAATTCCTCCTGCAGGGCAGGGAGCCACACCCTACTGACACCGCCACCTCCCACCCCAGGGTGGTCCAGCGGGTGGTCTACTGGAATTCATCAGTGCTGACCACTCTAGAGCTGCTCTTGCCATTCATGAAGTTAATTTCAACCTCCACTCAAAAAGAGTTGTATTAGCCCTGTTATAAGAACGAGAAAACTGAGGCTTAGGGAGGCCAAAGGAACACAACAGGAAAGATGAAGCAGGAATTTGAATTTAAGTAGTGTGGGTCTGGTGTGAGTGCACCCTGAGGAAGAGAGGCCCAGAGACAGAGCTTTGTCTAAAGTCACAATTTAACTCCCCTGAGGGCAATAATAACCTGTGTATGATTTGCACCCAAAATAGTGTCGGAAGTAGACATCAAATAAATTATTTTGAAATGAATGAATGGCCATTTGCCCTGATGACCTGAACATCAGCAGAATGTTCTGACTAAAGGCCTTAGTCAGATTTGCCTAAGACACCTCAGGTGTCTAAGGGTGCTGACCTTTATCTAGAAGGATTGAATTTATTATGGAAATTATTGCTATTAAAAAGAACAGTATGTGGGCCCTATGGCAGGGGAAATAAAAGCAAATTAAACAATTGGGTTTACTTCAAATTTAAAAATGTACACAGCAAAAGAAAATTTAAGTAGACTAAAAAAATCCTACTGAATGAGAGAAAATATTTACACATTACACAAATGACAAGGGGTTAATAGCCAAGATAAATAAAAACTAAATCCAACAATTGAAAATGAACAACCCAATTAATAAATGGGCAGCAGAACTAAACAATTTGTCAAAGAGCTGATCCGGAAGACCAATGGATACATGGAAAAAATGTTCATCATTTAAGGGAGATGTAGGTTAAGACCACAATGTGATATCACCTTGTACCCATCAGAATGGTATATGAACAAACAACAATAACAATAAAAATCTGATGCAGGAGAGGATACAGAGAAAGAGGCAATGCCCCTCTTGGTGGGGATGTAAACTGGTACAACCATTTTGGAAAGTGATCTGGATTTACCTTAAAAAAACTAAAATGAAAATACCATATGACTCAGCAATGCCACTTCTGGGCACCTTTACAAAGACTGTGAAACCATCAACTCAGAAACTGTATGCTCTAAAATGTTTATGGCAGTACTTCTTATAATAACTAGGACATATGGTAGTAACCTAAATGCCCATGGATAGAAGATTTGATCAAGATGTGGTGTATATATAGCCACACAATGAAATACTAAATGTTGCCATTAACAGCAAAATGGAGGGAATTATGCATAGTAAAGCAAGTCAGAATGACAAAGAGAAATATTGGAAATTTACATAATAGACTATTTGGCAAAGTAAAATACTTATAAAAACTAGTGGTCTTTATTTATTTTTTTTTTTAAAGATTTTTTTTTTTTTTTAGAGGCATGTTTTACTTATTTATTTTTTTTTTTTTTTTTTTTTTTTTTTTTTTTTATTTATACAAGCACTGGGTACAGTCAGAAGCGTGGGAGGGTGAGAGAATTCACCAGAGCCAGAGCGGGGAGCAGAGCAGGCAGAGGGACCGAGGTACACTGCTGAGGGGAGCAGCGGGCGGCAGGAGAGGTCTGCGCGCCATGCGGGACCCTCCTCCGGTGGCTGGGGAGCAGCCGGGGATCGAACCGGCACTGCAGAGGCCGCGGGCAGCTTTGCAACCCAGCGCTCAACCGCTGCGCCACCGGGGAGGCCCAAACTAGTGGTCTTTAATAAACAAAATGAGATCTCTGAGGTGAGGAGAGGCGAGGGAGAAAAGGTCAAAGGCTGTGGAAATAACCTACGTGACCAACAGCAGATGAGTGGATTAGGAAGACGTGCTATGGACACAGTGGAGTACTACTCAGCTATAAATAAAAGATGAGCTCTGGCCATTTGTAACAGCAGGGGTGGAACTGGAGAGGATTATACTAAATGAAATAAATTAGAAGGAAAAAGACAAATACCAGATGATTTCACTCACATATGGAATATAAAGAAACAAATAGGGCTTCCCTGTTGGCATAGGGGTTGTCTCAGTGCTATCACCAGGACGGCCTGAGTTTGATGCCAGGCCAGGGGGCTAACCCACATATGACACTGCAGACCTCTCCTGTCTTGCCTGCTGCTCCCCTCAACAGTGTATTTCAGTAAATCCACCTGTTATGCTCCTCGTTTGTCTCTGGTGAACCCTCTCACCCCTGCACCTCCGACTTACATCCCAGTTCTTCTATGCATAAATAAATAAATCTTTAAAAAAAAAAAAAAAAAAAAACAAAGGAAGAGACAAAACTAAAACAATACAAAGCCTAGGAATCTGACTGTAGAATTGAGGCTGCCAGAGTGGGAGGGTGGGCAGTAGGGAGCAAACGGAGAAGGGGCCCAATGGATGCTAGTGAAGAAATGGGTGCTCTGAATGTGGGTGTGGTGTAGTAACATCAACTAAAGAGGTATGGACCAATACCCTTACATCATACTGAGTATTGTAAATCAACCTTACCTCAATGAAAACTAATCTATTAAAAAATAAAGACACATCGGGCCTCCCCGGTGGCGCAGCGGTTGAGCACCGGGTTGCGAAGCTGCCTGCAGCCTCTGCAGCGCCGGTTCGATTCCCGGCTGCTCCCCGGCCACTGGAGGAGGGTCCCACATGGCGCGCAGACCTCTCCTGCCACGCCCGCTGCTCCCCTCAGCAGTGTACTTCGGTCCTTCTGCCTGCTCTGCTCCCCGCTCTGGCTCTTGTGAATTCTCTCACCCTCCCACGCTTCTGACTGTATCCAGTGCTTGTGTAATAAATAAATAAAAATAAATCTTAAAAAAAAAATAAAATAAAGACACTGCCATACAGAGGCATGTATTCTTATGTTTCTGATGCTGGCGAGAAAATCAACCATTTAAGGGCAGAGAGGAACAGTGTCTTAAACTATTAAAAAAAAAAAATTTGTTAACAGTGCCTCATATTCTGAGTGGAAGTTGTCATGCCCCCAATGAATTTTTATTGAGTACTTCAATTAGTGTGTAGACTTCCAGAGCTCCTGACAACCGGGCTTCTTAAATCAGTGTTTCCTTAAAGTTTCTAAGAAGTAAGCCACCTCCTTAAAGGTAAAAACTGCTGGGCATTATAGGTCTGGGTCAGCAAATGGCTTCTCTCATATGTCAAATCCAATCTATCCGTAGTGACCACCCTAAATGATTAGTAGAGAACAACTGGAGTCTCAGTGTGAATATGGAGATTAACTTCAGTTGTTTACTGAAGAGATTTGCTTGGTGAATTCAGTGAGTTTTCTAATCCTCTTAAATCCATTTAATACCTCTTAGGATGTAGTAAATGCAGCACCAAACTCATTTTATGACTGCTGTCCCCCCTATACTTCATTCTCCACGCCCTCCCCCCCAAATTTCTTTCAGGTGATGGATAATCACTAGACATGCCAGAGAATGTGGAAACTGGTAAAAGAAATGTCTCCCCTGGTTAGCAGTGATTTTGCCTTTTCCAAATGACTCATTCATACTCGTTTGTGGATAAAAACATTGTAATTGGTAACAGATTCGGTAGTCGTCTGTGAAACACTATTGCTAAAATAAGCAAATAATAGATAAATGAGTGGTCTTAATTTAAATTGCCAATATTGATTATTCAGCACTTGATCAGGTCAGATCCGATTAGATCCTGGCAGATCTCCACGAGCACACTTGCCATGGTCTCCTGTCCAAATCAGGAAAACCCCAGTGGTTGTTCTCCCCTTATTTTTATATTTAAATTCTTAAACATAAAAATTTATATTAAATTATATACATTGTGAGTTGTTGTTCATCTTTTCCCTGAATTTTCTGTAGCCCGTCAACATGATTTATTGGTCAACATTTCCCCCTTCATTCTAAGTTTAGAGCTATCCCAAGTCTTAGAACTTGAATAGATCTAAGAATTCCTGAGTTATTGTTTTCTGTATTCTCAGTGGTATGAATTGGCAGTTCTAAAATTGCATGATTAATTACATAATTGTAAATCAAGTTGAAAGAAATGATAGGTAAAAATTGGATAAATAGGACCTCCCTGGTGGCGCAAGGGGTTAAGATACAAACCTATGAAGCTATCCGCTGCCACTGCAGCACAAGTTCGATCCCCAGGCAGGGAGCTAACCACATGGCACAGCAGACCTCTCCTATCTCACCCGCTGCTCCCCTCAGCAGTGTATGTCAGTACATCTGCCTGTTCTGTTCCTCACTCTGTCACTGGTGAATCCTCTCACTCCCCACACTTCTGGCCTGTACCCCAGTTCTTGTATGCATAAATAAATAAATCTTTTTAAAAAATTGGATAAATAAAATAAAAATCACCACACTCCCACAACCCAGGTATACTAAGGTGTTAACTAAGGGAGAACATTAGTGTGTATCCACATGTCGTTCCAGATCTTTCCTGTGTGTGTGTGTGTGTGTGTATATATATATATATATATATATATATATATATATATATATATGTACTTCATGTACATCTACAGGTATGTTTTTTCAAAACAAAGTGTTATGCCACATACTGTTCTTTAGCCAGCTGGTTCTCTAGCCAGGGTTCATTCAGGATTTCTGCTTATTGTATCTTTTAAGTCTCTTTGAATTAGCACAGCTTCCGCCATCTCCCATCTTCTCTCTTTTTATTATATTTATCTTCTCAAATTTTCAATGACACTGACTTGTTCATGAAACCACCAATTATTTCTCAGGACAGCTCCCTTTTTAGATCTGTCCCCTTCCTCAAA